ACCTGGGAAAGTTTTATTTTCTAATGATTTGTTTGCGTCCGCGTAATTGCGCTTCGAAGTTGAAAGGTAGCGCGCCGAAATTATCCAATCAAGCCACCTTAAAAGAGAGCAGGTGCGTTATAGCTTCCGGACCTTGAATTTCGGACCGGAAATTTCAACTGCGGATGCCTTGATCACAGGTAAGCTGATCGATGTCCAATCTCGTACCCAGAGCCCTTATTTCTTACTGCGCATGCTCGATGAAATAATTGGGCTCTGGAAAACTCCAATATTTCCTGTGCTGTGATTGGTTCTCGAGAACAAAGGAAGATACCGGAAGTAAAACTTACAGTACTAGTGAAAGTAAACAAGATGGAGTCTCGACTTAAGTATACCAAAAAAGCCTGTAGGGCCGGATTTTTCGAAGTTTTGCCGGTTTTGTAATAGAAATCATATTGATGTCCATCCAATAGATATTTTTGGAGTTAATTTAACTGAAAACCATCTTCAAAACCTAATTTTCCAAGCGCGAATTCACATGCTCGTTGAACATCGTCCGCCATTTTGAATTTACTTAGTCTGTCATAATGCGCATGTGCGAGAAACCCAGAATCTGGGTCTTCCGGTTTGGAGTTTTCCAGAGCCCAATCAATCTCGTACCCAGAGCCTGCGTTTCTTCTGGCCTGCGGCGAAGAACTAGGGCTCTGGCATAATCCATATTTTGAGACCAGGATTTCTTGGACTTCCGGTATAACAGCGCATGCGTTCAAATACTTGCCAAAAATTAAAAATATTTTTTCCCCCAATTTTTAATTCGTGCTATAATTTTTAATTTGATTTTGAGTTCGATTTAATTTTTACTTCGCTTATTTTGATCGTTTATATCTCACTTTCCGAAAATTGCGCATGCGCCAAAATATGGATTATGCCAGATCCCTAGTTCTTCACCGCAGGCCAGAAGAAACGAAGGCTCTGGGTACGAGATTGGAGCCCAATTATTTCGTCGAGCATGCGCAGTAAGAAATAAGGGCTCTGGGTTCGAGATTGATCGATGTTTGGGTTACCTTTGATCTTCAGAGATCTTCAGGGATTCAAATTGCTTCGAACAAACGGTACTCAATTTTTGACCTTTTAAATTTTTAGCTTGAATATAGTAGTTAAATTATTTATCCTTTGCCTTCTTATAGTTTATTTAGTAAATTTCCCCCCCCCCCCCCCCGGGTTCTAATTGCTTGTGCTATTTTGTGAGTTTTTAACACGTTTTTTTGAGTTCAAATCATCATGACAAATGCAAGGGCGATCGGCCGCGAACTCGACTCGCACTAATCCTCGTGAAAATATGCTTAAATTCCAGTCTCCTTCTCATCTACTTCGGGTATGCGAAAGATTGATTATTGTACCACATTCTAGCAAATTTAGAGTTCGATCCAAGCCAATTTAATGCTTGAAAAATCCACTTATTTCCTGATTCGAGTCGTTAGACATTTTACTTCCGGAACGACTCTTCCTATTGTTTTTCCCCGGACCAATAGGAATGCTCAAAAAATCGGTTACAACCAGGCCTCTCGCTTCTCGTTACTGACCAAGAGGAACGTGGGCTCTGGGTACGAGATTGCTATTCAGACGCGAAGAATTGACGCGCGAAGCTAACCCAGACGCAGTTTCTCCTTGTAGAGCGTCTCCGAAGATTGTCAAGAGTTGTTGTACTGTTTTCCTCGATTTTCTCGCTCTAATTTTGCACTCCATGCAGATTACCCATCTGGTAACATAGGTAAGTCTAAGTTATATTAAGTCATATAAATTTCCTTCAAATTTTTTGAACTTACTCCACTATATAAAGCGCGATTTCAAAACTTAGGTTAAAAAATGGAGAAAAAGAGCAGTAAAGCAAAACCATCAACGCTGACTAGCGGCTGTGAGTTAAATGCGATTTTCGTGAAAACTTGTTCATTCGAAAATTCTATCCTTCTCTTAAAACCTGGGAAAGTTTTATTTTCTAGTGATTTGTTTGCTTCCGCGTTCGAAGTTGAAAGGTAGCCGACATTATCCAATCAGCAGGTGTGTTATCACGTGATCAAGGTGTGCCACATCTATTCATAGTTTCCTTGGTAGCGTCGTGAAAGATTGTATTGTCAAGGGTTGTTGTACTGTCGAGTTTTCCTCGATTTTCTCGCTCTAATTTTGCACTCCATGCAGATTACCCATCTGGTAACATAGGTAAGTCTAAGTTATATTAAGAAATGCAAAGTTATTTAGAAGTTTTTTAAATTCAAAGCCGGAAATGATGGAAGAAGATAGTAAAGAAAATGCTTCAAACATGAGTGATTACGAAGCTCTTGACAAAAAGACTTATTCAAATTTCGTAATCGATTCTAAACTTTCCGCCGAACTTCGGAACTTGGTTAGCTTATTTTGCAGCAAACAAACTTGATTTTCAAACAGGAGCTTCTGGATTTCCTTACCATACATGCTTGGCTTTGTTATCACTGATGACTTTCCCTTTCACTTTCGCTGTTATCGATAATGTTTGAAACCGTTTTTATGTTCACGACCGATATTTCAAGATGATCTACTACCTTTCTAATGGCATATTTTGGATTGGAACCCTTCTTCGCTCATTTGAGTAGGTTTATAGACGAGGTTTAGGACTAAAAGTCGAAGGGTATATAATATTATTAAAATACACAGATCAAAAATCTCGCGTACAACTTGGTGAAATGGATATCCAAATATGGTTGAAACTCTATACCAGTCACACTCTGTTAGTACAACATGTGGTAGTCCAGAACTGCACCCACTTTTCACAATATGCAGATAATGCATTTCACATGTTTTTGATGTGGCTCGATCAGCATATAATTCACGTGCGTATGTGAAATCTTTAGCGTGCATGTAATTCTCACATGGGCATTAAATGCATTTCACATTTTTTTGATTGGCTCAGTGTTGTTTCACATGAATTTCAAACACCCTTTCACATGGTCTTGCCAAAAGTTTATATGATTTACTCTCATGCATGCAATGCAGTAAAATTTCTTTTTCACTTTTCACATGCTTTTTCCCAGGTGAAGGCTGACAATTAATCCCCATGCACATGTGAAATATTTCAAAATGTTTGACATGCTATTTCACACTAATATAAAATTTCGCATGGAAATTTTCACATCCTATTTTACATGTAGAAAAATAATCTTCACATACTTTTCACATGTATTTCACACACTTCCTTGCACTTCCACTTCCATGAGTCATACTCATGTCCTCTGTCTGAATTTCACAACTGCCGTAATTGCAAAACTTTTGTGACTTTGGGACTGAGACGTCATGTGACATCAGAGATCACGCTATAATACATTGTTTAATGAACATGTCATATGGGGTTGTTATAACGATGTATGTCAGGAGAAAAATGTGACAGATTTTTTCTGTTTACTCTTTTAGATCTTGTATTAACCCTTGATGTATCATGGATAGCCAAGAAGAAAGGTGGGTGAATTTCATCCCTCCGCAAAAATTAAGTTCTGATTTCCAATATGACCTAGGCATCGATTTAAGGCTTAGTCATGAGCGTCTGGCTCAAGAGACTAGGCAATCACAGACTCTGCCTTCTCAAAGTAAAATATATTATGAGTATATTATATTTATTAAATTCATATGTATTTGCAAATTTTACTATACGCATATTCTGGTTTTGGTGTTAAAACGAGGCATCTGTGAGGAAGAGTTGGATCAACTTGTCATCCTTTTTTCACAGTAATTAAACTGCAGCATTCGGAAACTGCATTTTGATTGCCCCATAGTAAAGCACCTCTTTTGTGATAGGTTAGGTCTTATTTTAGTTTTAAGTTATTTGGAAGACCTGAATCTATTGTTATTTTATAATAATCCTACAGTATGTATTTTTTTGACCAATCATAAAACTCATTTCAAACGGTGCGGGAAGTCCCTTTTTCAGACTGTAAATGTAATTTGTTTTTTTTTTGCAATTTGGTGTTTTGCAGAGATAATTACTTCAGCTTGACTCTTCTGTTGTTCCGTGTTGGGAACCAAAAGTTACGAGAGTATTTCAAGACACAGTGGCCAAACGTTTACCAGCGTGTTAGACCTGGTACAGTACCACCCCCTTGGAATGACACACCACATGATGCAGCAGAAATGAAAAAAATACAACCATCCAAACTGAAATTCAAGTTCAAAGATGAAAAAACAAAGTTCAATTCAGGAAACACAAGCGACTGGGACTTCTCACTTCTCACCTCAGTGCTGCGATATTCATCTTTGCAATTTGTGCTGCCTTCCAGTCCTGAAAGTAAAGCTTTAGATGATCTTAAAAAAATCCGTAACGAACTAATAGGACATGCTACTGATGCAGCAATACCTAATGCATTATTCCATACAGCATGGACAGATGCTTGCAATGCATTAGCACTGTTCAATGCATCTGATGCTGACTTCAAGTGTGTACAAGATGGTATGTAGTCTTCAGTTGTGCTGTATTATAGATATCAATATATAACAGTTTTGTTAATGTGGCATGTTCGTTCGATGAAAGTATGACTGAACACTAAAAGTGGCAATATAATTACGATGTATGGTAATCATGTAATAATTTATGACCAGGTGACATATGTCAGTCAATAGTTGGCTTACTGTTGGCCAATGACCAACCAGTGGTTGACCAACACTTAGTAGACACAACACCAACACTAACATTCACTCACTCACTCATGCCTACAAAAGATTTTTAATCTGAGAACATCTGAATCTAAATTTATATTATGCTTTTTATGGAATATATGTGAACCAATACATGTATACTTAGATGACAGTTAATGCATTATTGATGATAAATTTAATGTTTCTGACAACTTTTGTTCTTGATATTGTCAAATACAGATGTGAATAAACCATGGAATGTGTTGTACCCAATGCTGCAACAGTGTGTTAAACAAGAGCAAGAAATAAAAGATTCTGTTGACACAAGTGAGTTAACACCATGTTAAATTTTCTTAAAGATCTTGTTGAACAACAAATATTTTTCAAGCTTTGATTCATAAAAAGCTGAGATAGTGTAGGCTTGACTGACCAGTAAGAATGAAAATAGGTGTGCAAGATACCAAGCAGTTTTCATGGTTATACTTAAACTCATCAGCAGTAATGAGATTGGGCAAAGACACCTACACTGCTATGTAGGTACGTGTACCACTTGTACAGTGATAATGAGGGGGACCATAGCAAAGTGCACTGTATCGAGCAACAAATAAGATGTGCAATGATTTGCAAAAAAAATATTGCTAAGGGAGAGATTACTGGCCAACAGGACTCAGTTTTAACTGAGTCTAAAATTTAATTCAAACTCATAAAAGTTATAATAAATTCTTACCCAGTTAATATACTGGAAAAACTCTGAATTTACTATTTAACTTTTGCAATAGTAATCAACAGAATAGAGCATTTACAGCAAACAGTGGAACAGCAGCATACATCACTACAACAAACAGTGGAAAAGCAGCATGAGACACAATTAGAAGCAGCAAGAAACATTGAAAGAAAAAGTAAGACAAAATATTTTACCTACCTAGTAATTAACATTACCTTAGGGGTCACTCATTATTTATGTCTAGAGGAGCTGGTAAAAAAGAGGGGAGGCTGCCATGAAATATAGAGAAAAGGGGAGGATGGCTAGTTACAGTGTCAGTTTGAGGGATAGGACATGTATATGACATGAAGCAGATGGTATGGTGACTGTAATGGTCCAGTCAGGTTAAAGTATGTAAGATGTCAGTTAGAGTGGTAGTACATGTATATGACATGAAGTGGATGGTATGGTGACTGTAATGGTCCAGTCAGGTTATAGTATGTAAGATGTCAGTTAGAGTGGTAGTACATGTATATGACATGAAGTGGTTGGTATGGTGACTGTAATGGTCCAGTCAGGTTATGGTGTGTAAGATGTCAGTTAGAGTGATAGGACATATATATGACATGAAGTGGATGGTATGGTGACTGTAATGGTCCAGTCAGGTTATATTGTATGTAATTAGCGTAATTAATATCAGTGTTTTTCCTGTCATTCTTAACAGTTGATCTAATGTTGAGTCAAGGGCAACAAGGTCAGAAGAGGTCAACAGCTGATGTCCAGCCAGGTTGGTTTCTGAATTTGAGTTGGATTTGTTAAACTGCAGTTCATAATAGTATAATAGTAATTTATGTTTTACACAGCACTTTCCAGTAAGTTCTTAAAACCCTTGACATGTTTAAATACAACGCTTCCAAGTTATAAAAAAAGTATTGCAAGTAATCTGAAATACAAAACCATTGTGTGTCATTTCCAAAAAAGCAATGTATTAGGTCCTGAGTTTTTGAATTTGTATGGGTCAGAAAAAGAGGAATAACATTTCAGAGTTGGGTATGCATGCAGTGAAAAAAGATATCCATTTGTGCATTTAATCCTCCACACCTATTCAAATGTAGCTGTTTTGTTGCTTATGGTGCTTCATGGTGTTTTAGTAAGTAAGTAAACTCTTTATTTACTGAGTAGCACTAAATAGCAATATGCTAACAAACCTGTGGCCCTCTAATTTTCTTTCTTTACAACTATCTTATTAAACGAGTTGATAAGAAAAAGGGCCACTTAGACCAGTTAAACAAGAGAACCAATTAAAATGTGGAATGAAGACAATTCATTTCAACTTTGGGTAGTGGAACCAATCAGAAACCTAGATTGTATGAGAATGGTAATTTGACCCTGATGTTACGTGTAAACAACTAGATAGCCATCATCATTTTCTTGTGGGAATGATGATGTAGTCATCTGGTATATAGTGTATAGATGTATGGATGTACTCATCTGGTATATAGTGTATGGATGTACTCATCTGGTATATAGTGT